AACTGCAGATCCTGCGTTTTACCCGAGTCCGTCGGTTTTCGCTCACATAGTGTATTGACGTGTTTGAGTGGGACAGGATTTTAGTTTCCAGAGACTCTATCTTCAGCTTGCTGTTTAGAGATTTACCCGATATCCCCCAAACCTAATTACAACCTTAACCTTGCAAAAAATGGTATAAAACCAGAAGATTGTCTTCCTAAAGCAGGGGGGTTTCTTCCTGCTCCTGCACCGCCTGAGATGTTTGCTCACTTTCAGAACACAAAGGCGAATGTATTTTTTGAAAGCTGAGCCAATAAGGAGAGGGTAACCTTGGATGACTCTTCGCAGTAGTAGTCACATGCGTTTTGATTAACTGCAACACTGACACAGTATACAAACAAAGCAATTCTGCAGGTACTTACAATTAACGGACTTTATAACCAGCGTCAGATCTAACTCTCCCCTGTCGATTCCTTCTGCAGCGAGGGAGATGCCTTCAGTATACAAAAGCTCCAAAACCATTTAATTTCTACATTTTGCAGAGCCCTGTGACAGTGAATGACAGATATATTCTACTGCAAATTAAACCCAAAGACATGCAGCTGGAAGTGGTGTGGTTTCTGGGTGTCCTAGACCTCTTGGAGTCAGCCATAAAACATGGGTTTGGGATTGAGGCACACAAATCGCTCCCCGTTACCCAAAGAGTGCCGTTCCCGCCCCAGGCAAAGAGCAGATGGAGCTGTGGGCTGAGGGACGGGACCCCGAACCGCTGCAGGAGACTCCCGTCCTCCATTTGTGGGGTGCCCCCACCGTAAGCAACCGCCGGAAAGCAGATTCTGAAGTTACTGCAGGAAAAGATAAAGATCTTTAGTGACTTTCATCGGAGGGACTTCAGACGGGGGAGGGGCTCAGAAGGGTTTGGAGCTTTTTGTTATAATAATTTTTAAATTTTTTTTTAGAATGAGTGTTTTTCTTAGATATGTACATAAACGTTTTTATAAAATTGTAGATTTTGTTTTTGTTTGAGGTATGCTGGGGTATTTTCTGAGCCGAATGAGAAATTTTGATTTAAAAAAACCTTATTTTTTAAAAGAGAAACTCTTCAGTTGGCTCAGTTCCTCGTGCCTCTGCTCACTTGTTGTCTTTAATGTTTATTAAACAGCACGATGTACTTCATTAAATATTTTTTTAACATTTTTTTTCCTGCCTGAAACAAGCACAGATGGGGGGAGGTGATGGTGGAGAATATCACATCCCGGGGATGTGACCTAGAAGCCGTCGGTGTCGGTGCCCTCTCTCGCTCTGTATTCTGCTGAGGGTATTCAGTGAGGAATAAGGTGGTCCCCTCCTGCGCCATTAGCGGTGAGAGTTTGGGGGACTTTCTAGTTAGTGTCCGTTTGCTCCGAACTCATGTGTGAATGTGCCTGGTCCTGGCAATTTGATGTGCTTCAAAATCTTTGTGCCGGGGGAGCCCCCCGCAGAGCAGAGCAGAGCAGGACCGCAGCGCTCCTTGGCTTTTACCCTGCCGAAGCCTTGCCTCGGAGCTCGCCCGTTTGGCTGACGAGGGAGGGTTTGCAGGTTAGAGCAGGAGTTGGAGGCTTTGTTTCCAGTTGGTCTGAGTCCCGCCGCAGTTACCTTATAATTGAACATTGGTGAGGCTGTACCGGCACAGACAAGTCGACTGCGTACAGCAGCTCACCTGGCGTTAACGTTTGAGAAAGAAATCACAGGATGGTGGGGGTTGGAAGGGACCCTCAGAGATCATCCAGTTCAACCCCCCTGCCAGAGCGGGGTCACCCAGAGCAGGGTGCGCAGGACGGCGTCCAGGCAGGTTTGGAATCTCTCCACAGAAGGAGACTCCAGAGCCTCTCTGGGCTCCAGTGCTCTGCCACCCTCAACATAAAGAAGTTTTTCTTCATGTTCAGACGGAATTTCCCCTGTTCCAGTTTGTGCCCGTTGCCCCTTGTCCTGTCACTGGGCACCACTGAAGAGAGTCTGGTCCCATCCTCTTGCCACCCGCCGTGTAGGTATTGATCAGCATTGATGAGACCCCCTCTCAGCCTTCTCCTCTCCGGGCTGAACAGCCCCGGGGCTCTCAGCCTGTCCTCAGCAGAGAGGTGCTCCAGTCCCTGAGCATCTTCATAGCCTCCGCTGGTCTTTCTCCAGCAGTTCCCTGTCCTTCTTGCACTGGGGAGCCCCGAACTGGACCCAGTGCTCCAGATGTGGCCTCCCCAGGGCAGAGTAGAGGGGGAGGATGACCTCCCTCGACCTGCTGGCCACACTCTTTTTAATGCACCCCAAGAGACCATTGGCCTTCTTGGCCACCAGGGCACATTGCTGCCTCACGGGCAACTTGTTGTCCAACGGGTGCTTCCAGCACAAACAGCAGCTTCTCTCGCCTGCCAGGGCTCTCCTGGGCACCCCGGCCCATCGTGGCATGGCGCTGAGCAGGTCTCACGGGGAAGAGAGCAGGTTCCCAAACCTGCGCGTCTCTCGACCGCATCTCCGGGGTGCTGGTGGTCTCCGGGTCGTGTGGGTGGGGGTGGGAAGGGGGCTCCTGGCTGAGCTTGTGGCGAGTCGGGATCACGTTAGTATCTCGTGCTGTGAGTGAAAGAAGGCAACGAAATCTCGGGTTGAGGCACGCCAGGACAGGAGGAATCGCTAAGGCTACTCGTTACTTCTGTTCTCTTGCTGAGGGCAATGTGTGTAACAAAGCAATTGAACCGTCTCTTCAGGAGAACGTAGGTTGTAAAAGCAGACTTAATTTTGTGCTTCACTTTTGTACCAAAGAGCTGATTTCTGAAACCATTTCCCAGCTCACAACACATCTCTAGGTATTAAAACGTTGTGAATTTGCTTGTCATTACCAATATTTTCTTTGACTGAAGCTATTGAAACAAAGTAGTCTCTTTTTTTTTTCTTTAACCTTCAATCTTGCTTCTAAAAGAAGTAGGTCTCTTTTTCTTTCTTTCTTGGTCAAATATAAAAATGATGATAATTTCAAATATTGCTTTAGAATAATTGCTTTCCTCTCTCTTTTGTATGACAACAGAAGCTTGGCCTGATCTTAAATCAGATGCTGGCAGGCAGAGGGCTCTTGACAGCCCTGCAAAATCCTTTAGTTACAAGTCAGCTTTAGCCAATTCTTTATTTGTAAATGACAATTTTCTACAGAAAAATATATGCTTGGGCTTCAATTTCGGAGTCCTAGATTGCAGCCAGGAAAAAATAATTGAATTTTTACACTGTTTTTTTTTTTCTCTTTTCTTCCTAACTTAAAAAAAATAAAAAAAGTGAAGCTCTGTAGAGCATGGTTAGGGGCCGATTGAGGGAAACATCTACCCTGGTTAATTTGAATGGCAGTGGAGACGGGAGTGATGTTTAATTTGTTCTGCGCTGAGAGAATTTGGGGCTACTCCAAGCTTTTTGTTCGGTGTCTCAGCTCTGTGCAGGCTTTGCGCTTGTCCCCGTCGCTCCCTCCGGTAGCGCAGCCCAGCCGGGCCAGCGCTGGCTGGGGGGACCCCGTTGCTTTTGGGGGGTCTGATGTGCGGAACGGGGTCTGGTGGTGCGGGGACAGAGCCGTGTGGGAGCCCTGGACGCGGGGGGTGGCCAGAGTGCCGCAGGAGCCCGGTGACCCTCCAGGCAGCCCCCAGTGGCACAGGCTCTGCGCTACACTGTGCAACCTTCAGTAGCTATGGTAAAAGGTATCCTGCCTTTAGTGAAAAAATAAAGAAATGAGAAAAATCCAGGCTCTGCACTGAGCAGCTGCAGCAGTTGCGTCTCCGGCCGACTGCCCGGTGGCATTCCCGTTGGCTGTGGTGGCCATTGTGTAACCAAGCAGGTCCTGGGTCGGGAGTAACAGGGCGGTTTTTCCCTTCAGCTGCTGTAAGTTGGCTGCTTCCTCCAGTTTCTGTCATACAGGAAACAAACTCAAGCGGTTTAATGCATGAATTTCTTATTGGCGTGTTAGTTGATTTCTGGAGTTAACATGCAACGTTGCCTTTGAAACACCTCTACACGGTGGGTTGGCTGGTGATGAGTTGCTGTCTCCAGTGGTAAGGGCATTGCCTGCTAGAGGTGGGGTGGTCCCCTCTGCCCCTCCAGAGCGTGCTGACAACGTTGTCCTGGATCAGCCTTGGTTTAAGGTAGCCCACAAGGCTCAACTGGTTTGGGATCAGCCCATCAAAGACACCAGCTTCCCCCACCACCATCAGGGTTTGGGTCCCTGGGCTGGATCCTGCCTGCCTTACAGGGTTACGGATAATGGGTGATCTGATAGAACGTTCTCTGTAGGCAGTCCAGCATCGTCCCGTCACCTTGGATGGATCAAACCTGGGGGGTGCGGGTCAGGAAGAAGAGCTGGGTGTGCAGTTGGGGTCTTTGGGAACACCAGGGGCAGGAGGGGGTTCCTGAAGGGCCTGATCCAGCCTCTCGTGGGCGGCGACACTGTGAGCGTTTCAACTGAAACCGGGTTGGTGGCAGCTCGAGCACTGCATCGGCAGCTCTTGCTGTCTTTCGTCATTTGATTATTTTTAAAGTAACTGTGCAAATTCCTTTTAAAGGGACCCGTGGAAGCTTAATAGCACATTGCTTCGATTTGATGTAATTACCTTTTGTCTGCCAAAGAGCATGCACTCTGTCTTTAGGAAAAATAGGGGGGGAAATGGCATGTCTTCTTGAGACAGTAGCTTTAAGGATACGACACTTGGACTCTTCTTTCACTTACATTTGCATTGAGAAGCACAATAAAAATCATTTATTAAAAAAAAACATCCGAGGGCTGGAGGCTGGAGTTGTTATTGAGTGCCTTTACTCAGCCATTTCTCAAATAAAAACAAAACAAAACAAGACAAAGAAAAAAAAAAAAAGAAGTATCTAACTCAATAGAGTCTGAATTGCTTTTGTAAAGAAATATTCTCATTAACTGGGTTAGGGATGGCATCTGAAGAATATTTCTTTTTTCCACATACTGTTTGAAATAATCTGGTTAAACCGTATGCTTGTCTTGTAATTTCTTACAGATGGTCACGAGAACAAAGAAAATATTTGTAGGTGGATTATCGGCTAATACAGTAGTGGAAGACGTAAAGCAATACTTTGAACAGTTTGGCAAGGTAAGTTCCTGCCCAAATGAGCACTACATATTTTGAATTCCTTACACACCTCCCCCCCCCTTTTATTTTTAAAGTGTGTTTTGAAAAACAAAAGTGCCATGAGGCCTATGCTCAAAGGAGAACCATGGTTTTTTGCCTTTTGGTGTAATTTCTTGAAGCCTTTAGAATGTCTTCTGGAATTCCTTTTCTGTTTGTTGCATGTGTATGTGTACAACATTGCCAACACTGTTTACTTTCACTAGAGCAAAAAGAATCATTGGGAGGTGAATTTGTGTATGTTCAGGAAGAATTTGACCCTTAGCTGAATGATTACACAGTTGTCTACTCCATAAAATCAGCCTTCTGTTTACCCCCGATTCCAGTGGCGAAAGGAGCAGATAGACGTATTTGAGAGAGCTCATTAAGTTGTGAAAATGCCTGAAGGAACCACATGAATAGCAAGAGTAATATGGAAGCCACTAGAATATCTATTTATTTTCTTATTAAAAAATCCTTATGCAAGTTTGTTTGGAAATATATGTAGAATCCTGACATCATAAAAAAAAAAAATTATGCAAGGAAGGAAACCCGAGCCTTGCCAGAATAGTCTGCACAGTGCTGGAACAGCCCAAACCCCACAGCCCACCCCCTGGCTGGAGCTCAGTGCCACCCGCTGCCGTGGAGTTTCCTGGATCCCCGAAGCTTCTGGGTGCATGGTCAGGAGCCCGACGAGATGAAGAGCTTGCAGAGCCGTCTGCTTTGAAAGCACTTCGTGGTACCACCTTCCACGAAGACCCCACTGTCCATAGGGCTCCATATGGCTCGATTTCTGTCCTCTGGAGTACATCAATTGATGATTTAGATGCATGATTGCATGAGGACACAGCAGGATATCCCAAAGCAAAGCAGCTCCCGTTCCTTGTAGTTAGTTTATGTTTCTTTTATCTTCCCTGAAAAGCCTTGGCCAGGCAGTATTTTGTTGAGGGCTGAGGAGGGGAGTTTATAAATTGTTCCTGTGCTGGATTGATAGTTGTTTTGCAAACCATTCATTTTACTTTCAATAATAATCTTCGATTCCGGCAGGATGTTTACAGCCTGCTGAGCCTTTTATTAAAGGATTACATGAGCTTTTGGATGTTTCTTCTGTAGTTAGTTCTAATTGCAGAACTCCTCTAACCTGTATTTTTGAAGTTAATAATAGTTTCAATATAAGTGCTTTGCATATTGTCTGGATGCTGTCTTAATATAGTCTTTTTAATTTCGCCATCTGGTAGTTTCACGCTTGCAATTTTACAGTCCCTGAGAATGCAGACAACTAGGCTGCCTTTTCCAGTAGCGACTAGTGAGTCGGGACACTTCGGTTCCTGCTTCCGTGCTCTGCCTTTCTTGAGATAGTTTGAAAGAGGTCTGCCTTTCCAAAGGCAATACTTTTGGAAAGTCACTTATTTTTTTCAAAGTGTCTTAATTTGAAGGCTGAAAAAGTAAGGCGCTGAAAATAATCGCACAGGTTGTGATCAAGGCTGGAACCCATTGCTCTGGCAGGAGAGCCGGGGTACGTCCTGCTGAGGCTGCGTGGTCCGGTCGTTAGAGCTCAGCTCTAACGAGACTGCGGGACTCGGGCTCACAGGGCTTGGTGACCTTTTCCAGTTGCATCCCTGTTTCACACCTCCCTGTTCTCGCTTGCAAAAAGGAGATGGGTTTGGTGAAGTCGGTGGCGATTTGGAGGAGAGCCTTCTTGGCTGTGTCACCGCAACTTGACCTCATGCCCTGGTGTTACAGTTCTCTCCACTGCACTTTGCTGTTTATCAGCTGAGACAGTTTGGTTTGTGGGGTGTTTTTGGGTGACTCTCCGCGCGGCTCTGGTTGTGGGAAGACGCAGAGCTAGTTGACAACTCCAGGAAATGGGGACTTGGGGTCCAGCTAAATTAGAAGACTCGTTAATTCACTGCAGTGAGTGGGATGCTGCATTCAGATCTAATGACCCAGGATTGGCCCTGTGGGATCTTGTAGGAGCCGCTTCCTTCTTCTTCTCCATTCCGCTTCCCCACCTTCCCCTGACTCACTTGCTCAGGTTGCGAGCTCTCTGGGGCAGGGACTGGTGATACGTCTGTGTGCTGCTCAGCACGCGAGCCTCGCTCTCCAGTCAAGCCATTACAACGCAAACAATACATCATGATCGACTGGCAAGGTTTGTATTTGCTTAGCGCTTTCTTAAATAAAGAAAATTGCATTGCATAATTAACGTGTAGAGGAGCCGCCCATATTTGATAAGAGCATCTCAGGTGACTTGCTCTTTGAAATGCTGAGCTCATTTATTGGTGTGGAAAAAATTGCTTACCTACTGCTGTGATTCTTGAAATCCTGTTTGTACTTGCTGCAGAGAAGAGCTCTGCGACCAGGGGAGGTTGTTTTGGTAACTGGAGGTAGCTCTCAAAATACATGACGTGGTTAGAACAGCTACCAGCTTTGGGGCTGGGCGGATTCGCACATTGACCTGGAGTTGGCAAGAAAGTGCCTAAAGTGTTGAATTTGAAACTACAGCTTTTGGAAAACTAAATGCGGAAACCTTTTTCTCCAATAAAAAGGTGACTGCTTTAATAAACCCTCTTCCCTGACTTCACTGGTGAAAATACCTGCCTGTTAAAGCACCAAAATACATGGTAATGGTAACTCCTGAGACTTTGATTGTGAAATTTCTGATAGTGATTATTTTTTCTTTCTGTAAAGTGGGACATCTGTAAGAGTCACAGCTTTCATTGTGTGCAGATGGACATCCCTGGCTGCTGTAAGCTGTGGAGGAAGACTGGGAAAAATGACCTGAGTGAAGCCAAAAGGTGTAACGGAATGAGCGCGAAGCAGTGTAATTAATAGCCTCGTGATTGCTGAATGCTTAGACCCGGTGATGCTCAATCTGCACACGTACAGTTGATGTGGGGCGCCCCTGAGCGGCCTGGCGGGGGTCTGGGTGCCGAGGAGGGGACTGGGTGCAGGTCCCGGCACTGGTGGTACAGAGGGCAGGGAGCGCAGTCCAGCGGTACGGGGCCGAGGCCGGCAGCCAGTGGGAGATGTATCTGGGCAAGAGTTTGGGGTTGAGGCTTCTCCTTCCAGTGGTTTCAGGGATCAGGATCCCCAGGAGGACGGGAGGACTCTAAGCCGGGGCAGCGAAACTCCAAACCAAGCCATAACCATTTACAATCAGAAGAAAAAAAATAATCCATTGTCTTACTACCTAATCCCAATAGTGTAATGCAGTTGTTTCTGTGATCCTCTGTTGTTTCAGTCAAAGATGTTTCAAACATTCTTGCCAGCAAACTGAATTCACTGGCCGTGTTAACCCATCCAGGGTCTGCAGCATTGCCCTTGCGCTGACGTGTGGAAAGCTGGCTGCTAAGACCAAGTTTTAAAAGAATTTCCGTGAGAAAGTGTTAGCAGTGCGGAGATCCCGCGGGAAGCACGCTGGGGCTGTGCGTTGCCCCCCACCCCCGGAGAGGCCACAAGTGCGCGGAGCCGTCAGCGGGGCTGTGCCTGCGACCTGCCTGGTTCACGGCCTCCTGAAGCTGTGAGCAAAACGGCGCTGCCCGAGATCAGCCCATGTTGGAGTGTTTAAGGCTTCTGGTATCATTTTAAGAAGGAAAAAACAAGCAACAGCCTCTTAAAGCCTCAGCCGGAGGACTGTGACCGGCAGCAGAAAGCCCCAAACGCTAATGGATTGCGCTTCTCTCGGGACGTGCATGTTCTGCACCTTTTAAGCTGCGAGAGGCTGATGATAAGGGACATCTTGGGGTTCGTTTTTTACTAGGTAATGCTCCCTTTATAGAGCTCCCGTGAAAGTAGCGTAGTCCTTATTTTGCGACTTGCAATTATACTTCACATGGCGAACTGTGTAATTAGTTTGGAAGACTTATGCCTAGTCATTGGTTTATCCTAATCGGCTTTGGCTTTTCCCAACAACAAAGTGAGCTTATTTTCCTAAGCTGAAACAACTCTGCTCCCTTTGTTCCTCTCTTTTATTGTCTCATTCCTTTCATTCTGCTTTACTGCCAAAGTTTTGTTTCATTAGGCCTACAAGTCATTTCCAATCCAGTGGGCTGCTACAATAAGGCCTTTATAGCTCAGCTGCCCCGGTTCCCATGTCCCTTCTGGGCTGGAGCCAGGACTTGCTGTTTGACATGGGATTTTAACCCTTTCGGTGCCCCGGCTGCCGGTCCCCCCGTGGCGCCGAGGCCGCTTCGGCGGGGTGCGGGCCGGGCTGGAGGTGCGGGATGGAGGGACCGCCTGGTGAGCTTACCAACCCAAACCATTGCCTGGGGTCATTAATTGAAACGTTAATGTGGTTGGGCTCCGGGGACACTTCTTTTGACCCAATTGTCAAAACAGAATTCTGAGCAAAAAATCTTCTTATTGAAATACCGTAATCAGTCTCGGTGGGAACAGCCCGTCGAATGAAAGGGCGGCTGTGTCCTTCCGGCCTGTTCCCGGCACGGTGGGAACTGTTACGGTAAAGGTACGTCTCAGTTGTCGTGAGCGATTAGATCAGCCCGTATAGGATTGTTCTTGTCGAAAAAGCATGTTTTCTTGTGTGGGAGAGAATACAATTTAAATTTAGACTTTTTTGAAAGAGAATGGTGATTTTTAAAGGAGAGGCATGAAATAGTTTGTGGACAAACAGTATTTTTGCATAGTTACTTCACACCGCTAGAGAAGCAGTGCTGGTGGCCCCAGCTGTTTTGCTGCTTCTGAAAATCTCAAAGCAGGAACATTGGCTTTATGTTTTTTTCTTTCACAGTAATCCTAAAATGACTTTTGTGCAAGAGGGCTATGGTATTTGCTTTTTGTTTTAAATTTTCAGATGAAATCGAAACAGACCAGGATGCATTAATTTTGTTTTCTGTTCTGGCTTGCCACGAGGTCCCTCCGACAAATCGTAGGCATGTTTCAACTCTGCTTGGAATATGTTGTTTCCTCAGGAATGACTTTTAAGGTTTGGAAATTTTGAAGCAAGACAGGATTTCTGAATTACC